CCTTAATGATTCTATGATTCTATGTTCCTTGTTCCCTCTTCCATGCCAGCCTTTGGAGCAGATCTATGAGAGAGAGAAAACACTTCTGCTCCGTCTTAACTAAATGTATCATCCCTTCCCCTCCTTATTTCTAAGAACTGGGTCAGCCACAAATCACTTCAATAAGAATTACGCTGACAATACTTACTTTCATCTTCAATGTACCCCTTCCAGTCAAATGGAGTCACTGTTGAATTAACCAATGTACCATTTTCACCTATGGTGCTGTTTAGCTGGGAAGTAATATTTGTTTCCAGAGTAAAATTGTCTGGAGGCCACTGCAGGCATTTATTCCTCAGGTTGCCCATGAACAGCTGCAGCCCTATTAGTGCAAATACACTCAGACAAAACACAGTCAGGATCATTACGTCCGAGAGCTTCTTCACAGATTGAATTAGGGCTCCCACGATAGTCTTCAAGCCTGCAAATGCAAAGGAACTTTTATTCTGATGTTCAAAACTTTTTTAAAGCATAAAAATGACAGTGTCTCCCAGTAAAGTTAGAGATTTCATGCAGAAGCCCAAATAAATGATTGTAATGTCTGTGAAACAACATTTTTGTGAAGAGCTTTTCACTTGTGAAAATGAATAAATAGCTGAAATTTATGTTCATTTGAAACCGTGAATGGAATGAGTTGAATATATTTCAAAACACTTGTTTTAATGCTAAAACAAGTGACTTTTTTTATTCATGCTGTACATGAATCTCACATAAAAGACTTCTTTCTTTTTATTCGTCTATATCTCTTGCCCCAAACCGTTGCTACTGTCAGTTTTATAACATACTAGGTTTAGAAGAAAGTAGTAAAAAGCCTGTTCAACAATAAATAGGATTAAAATTTAATGCTATAAAACTGGAGATGGTTTGGAAAATCGTAGAATTTTAAGATAATAAATCCCCCATGCAATGCCCGTGCTATTGTTTATTATCTTATTCCTTCATCTTCTTACTAAGTCAACATTTCAAACAGTTCTATTTTTTAGATACAAATATTCACAACAAATACCACATAACATCATGTAGGTAAGATACACATGGGTAAGAAAACTTCAGGGTTACTGATATTCGTTGAATGTGGAGAAGAAAGCTTGACATCATACGATGCAAACCACACACGCTGTGTACTGCAATGTCTCATGCAAGAATCTGTTAAACTCAAAGGCTGATTTCAAAAGGAAAGAGCTCATGTTAAAAAGCAATGAATCAGAGATTTCAGTGAATTCTAATATCTTCCGATTCCTGCTTTTTTGTGGAAAGAAATAAGATTTATGTTATAAAATATGAATTCTGTTTCAGTGAATTAAAGTCAGCCTCAGTGTTTAACCTAGCTCTCACCTGGAATGACTGATATTGTTTTCAAAGCTCGGAGAACTCTGAATGTTCTCAACGCTGAGACATTGCCCAGGTCCACAAACTCTGTCACATATCTGTAATAGGGGAGTTCACACACAAACACAATGACAGGATAAAAAGGAACAGTTGGGAGGTACAAGGGGCCTAACACCTTACACCAGTTACTTCTTACCTGGGATTACAGAAATAGTTTTCAAAGCTCTCAATACTCTGAAAGTTCGAAGAGCTGAAACATTGCCTAGGTTTACAAATTCTGTTACATACCTGTAGGATTAAATCACAGTTATTCAGAATCTAGGCAAAGTTTATGCTACTTACTTGGGTCTTTCATCAAGACCGCTTTGGCGTTTTTAGCAAAAAATTAAATAGCAACAGTCAGAGGTTTACCTTTCACTGCAGTTTGCCTTGCATTAATACGCTTTCAGAGCCTTCAGTTAAATTAAATGTCTCTGAAGTGAATCGCAGTGATTTAACTTTGAAAGCCTAAAATTTAGCTAGACTAGATTGGTAAGTTTGGAGAATGAAGTCAAAGGGATGTTCCTTTTCTGCTCAGAGAAAAAAATGCAGGACATGAAATTAGCCTCTCTAATACTAGCTGTACTAATGGCTTCTGCAGTATTTATGTCTACATCAAAATATGCATGTTAGAACGTGAAAATTGTTTTAGACAAAAGTAAATCCACACAAGAATTTCCATTTGACAAAATTGATATGTATCAATACTAATTTCATGCCCTTTTTGCCCTTCACTTTCAAAGAAAAAGCAAAAAACAAAAACTTACGCAAAGGTAATGACAGTGAAATCAAGCCAGTTCCATGGATCTCGAAGAAAAGTAAAGTCTTCTAAGCAAAAGCCCCTTGCAATGATTTTTATGAGTGACTCAAACGTGTAAATTCCAGTGAACGTATACCTGGAAAATATAGGAAAATTTGATCAAAATAAGTAGCAACATTTTACATTGGTATTCTGATAGAAACCTGATGATCAAATGAGAGAGTTCTTTTTTTTTCAAAACTGGAAAAGAAATACAGTAAATAAGCAATTTCTTCTAAAATGCATTATATTCATCATATATACTTGTGTATTTATGTGCATTATTTGTGACATGCTGTTGAAGTACAGCAGTCCTGATCTTGTACATAAATCAAAATAAATAAATCCATCAAATAAATGACATATATTAAAAATTCATTGGTGTCACTCAGTTTAAAAATGCAACACTAGATCCGTTACTGTTAACCAAGAAAGTTGTGAGCATAAGTTACTGGATACTGTCTGAATCACTGACATCTAAACCATCTAGTATTAACTCTAAAAAGGGAAGAATGCAAGCACGCACTGAATTCTCACTTTAGGAATACTTTTGCTTATATGCTGTCCTTAACTGATGTGTACAAATAGATGGCCATGGTTCTGCTATTAATGCAGTGGCGTAGAGGAGGGGTAAAAACATTGGGTAGATGCTAAACCATGAAGATGAGAGAAAACTAGTGGAATCTCAGTAGAATACTATCTGTAAACAACTTTCATTTTTTCTACCCAGTCATTCTACTAGAAGGAGATTTCAATAATTATTCAACATTTCTACATAGCTTAGGGAGGAAATAGTAGTAGTGTCTCATGATAGTTCCTGCCAGCACACATGGCTGCACTTACTGGCATGCTGACTCCTAGAGGAACAATCAAAGATATCTTTAAATAACATATGCAACTTACTCTACATTCTTTGTCCAGTCCGGAGGGTTACTCATAGTCATAAATACACAGTTGGTCAAAATAGTGCACATGATAAGCATGCTGAATAATGTAGATATAGTTAAGGAAAACATAATAGTAATTTATACAATATCATATCAGCCATATATCTTAAGTACAGTAAAATATTGCCACTTACACAAATCTTTTAGATTTTGGTAAACATTGCACATATATTTTGCTTAACCTGGTAGTTTTCACTTTAGCACATTAAACTTTAGTATTAGTCTTGATTTGTTGATGTCCTCATGTTTTGTCTTCAGCTGGTATGGAGAGGCGAAGGAGATGGCTCTCACATGCCTGGGAGGTAACATGAGCTGAGTAACTTGCAGAAGAATACTGTTCTACTTAAGTACCTGATAAGACTGAAAAAGCATTAGTCTTTCACTTCTACAGTTGTGGTACTAAACTCAACAGCTGGCATATGCAAGGTAAAAGAAGTTTATCCTATTTACCATGAGCCAGAGAAAGCACACACCACCCCAGCACCCAGCACAGCCAGTCTGTCAAAAACACAGAACAAAACACAGAATACTGTTTTTAATTGCTGAAGTGACTGTATTCCATGTTTCCCTATCACTAGCTTAGCAGTACATGCTTCAGTCAGTGAAACAGAAATCCATAGAAAGCTCACAGATTAAGGTGAATAATTTTCCAGTATTATTTTTGGGCTCTCTCAAAATGCGTTAGCAGCAAAAGAAGCATCTCTTGTTCTACCAATGCTGTAATCTGAAAATGGTTCTATAATACCTTGTGGTCAATTGCTTGAAAAGCGTGGAAAACTGGTGAAGATTAGAATGAAAATTTATTTTTATTTAGATTTCCAGCAAGAAACAATTAGGTATTCAGGGATTATGAAAGCCAGACTAACAGCTCAAAGGGGCTTATGGTAGGGAGGTGGGACAGTCCACTCGGGCTTCACTATACCCAATGCGATGTTCTTGGTTTACAAGATCATTGGCGCTACAAACAGTGTGGTCCTTCCCTTTTCGTGGCAATAAAGTAAACTCGATTATTCAAACATTTGAAAATACTGAAGTAACCAAACGAGACCAAAACCTGACTCAAAATGGCCACCTGATGGCAGCAAAGAATAAGAACCGCTACACCTTTATGCCAAATGCTTAACTCTAGTATCTCTCTAAACGATGTGTTCCTTAAAAATAGTTGCATCAACATAACTAGCAAAGAAGCTAGCTTAAACTGAAGAAAGCCATTTACAGATAAACTTGCATATAAGAGGATTTTGAATTTTGTTTGGGTTTTTTTTTTGTTTTTTTTTTAAATCAAGTAGATAGCATTTTGTTGTTTGGGGTATATTTTTATGCTATGGTCAAACCGCCCCCCCAAAAACCCAATCCTTCACCCTAGTGAAGGAGGAATAGGAGAAGAAACATCTCAGCCTAAACTTTGCAGAAAATTGGTGCAAACATTAAGATCATCGCTTAGAGCTGCTGAAAAATTAAAACTTGAGCATATCTTTTCAAGTAAACATTCAAATCACCGGGAAGGATTTAGCTGCCTGATTCCCATAGATAGGTGGGTGACCTTTGTCTAAATGCTTGACCAAGCAGTGAATATTGTGATATCTTTCATTAAGTGACTTAACTCGTTTGAAGATCATGTTGTCATACAAGCTCTGTACAGTAAAAATTGTTGTTCAGTGGCATAGAATAAATGATTAGAATGCCTTACAATGCTTGTCCTCACAGCCCACAGACAGCTCTAAAGAGTCTGACTTAATATAATTGGGACATTCCTTTAAATAAAAAGAATCTGTTTTGGTAGATGAAAAACTTGGAGATGCCTGGCTGCAGCTTCAGTAGTCTCAAAAAACAGTTGAAGAAGTGGAATGTCCTCTTAGGAGAGCTGAGATTTTATCCCTATGCAGTGTCTTATGTGTTTACAGCTAGGTATCATTCATAACAAAGGCCACAGTAGATCCTTGCACATTGCTCTCTCTGTACATAACTCACCACATCTGTGAGCTGCGTGGCCAAAGTGCTGTTCGCTCTCAAAGGGAGCAGATGCTCAATAAGGGCTAACATACTTCGAAATCTAAACTCTGGCCATGCTTTCCCTTATAGGAATCTCAAACATAACTGACACATTCAATGTCTGTGCCTCTCTTCCTCCTTCTCCCACATTTTGAGTATTTTATTTACAACCTCAACCTTCCCTTAATTTACTATTTTATGTTCTATAATAATTCAACTGTACACATAGGTAAACAATTCTGATATATGATGACTTACTTCTTCATGGAAATGTACTGCCTTTTTCATGCTCTTCCCATATAGGCAAGCAGTAGGGTTAGAGGCACTACTCAGCCTCAAGCTAATCAATTACTGGAGCAGCTGAAGTCTCTTATCACCTGTGCAGACTTGGTGGAAGATTGACTGAAAAAAACAAACATTGCCAGTTGGTTTCTCAGCTACCTGCTGGCAGTCAGGCCACACTGAATAACGCTGTAATTTCAGCTTCCAAAGGCTAGCACAGGGGTACTTAGCAGGTACCACATTTTCTCTAGAGCATCTCCCTGTTCCTTTCTAACACTCCTTGCACTCTGCAGCTCCAGCCACTGCCACCTCCCTTCTTTTGTCTGCTCAGCCCCGCCCCCCATTCTTACCTTTTCATCCTTTCCTATTAATGCCAAAGTCTGGCCATCTCCCATCACTCTTTTGTTGCCCCCTCAGTTCCACACTCTACCTTAACTCGAGTCAGGCAGGCAAAAGGGGGGCGGAGGGAAAAGGCAGAATACCAGGAGGTGAGTTAGCAGAGCATGAGAGAGAGAAATTCATGCTGTTACCAGTTACTGTATCTGATATTACAATAGGTACCGGCAGTGAGGAAGAATACTTGCAGGGAAAGTCTCTGAGCACTGGGCAGAGACACACTCTGTTTCTTTGCAGGGGGAGCAACACCTGACCACGTCTGGGCACATGTGATCAGAGCGCCCTATACAGAGGTTCAGAGAATCTGGAGGACGTACAGATGAAGGTTTTCCAACCAATGTGCCAATTTCATTGCGCTCAACACATATCTTTCACACTGAAAGTGAAAGGCACAGTTCGGTTACAAAGGCCAAAATGCCAAACACCCACCTCAAAACATGAGAGCAGTAGAGCTGATCGATAAAAGTCAGAAGATTATTAAAAATAGTAAGCAACATTACCCCCTAATCTTTTTCTTATAGGTGGCTAACCTTGTATAAGCAGCTGAAATCTAAACCTCATTATGGAACATATTATGTGGTTCTTTCATTTTTGCAGTGTTTGTACCATACTGAATGGGAAAAAAAAAAAAAAAAAGAAAAAAAAGAATCTATGCATCTATTCTGATGTTCAAGAGAAAAAAAATAAAACATTCCCTATGTCTATACCTAAGATTAAAATAGCCCATCCCATAGTTGGCTGGTTGGAAAAGAAATCAGTCCATATAGTCAAAGGAAACCTCCTCCTATAATAGAGCTAAATTACATGATCACACAATCAATTAATGGGTAGAAAGAAAAATATCAGAACTGCATATTGTTTATTAGAATTGCTTTTGTTCTGACTGCCATCAAGACCAGCTGGATACTCTTTCAACACAATTAGGAGGAACTTAAGACCAAAACCAAACTCAGTAATCAGTATGCCAGTAAAAAACATTACCCACAACTAGCACAGATGCAGGGTTGGAAGATATTGTAAATTAGAGTCTATAACTTGAATGGATGAGCATTCATTAGAGACTTCAATCTGACAGTATTTGGCTGCGTTTTCTCACCATCACCACCACCCTGTCTGTAGGTCTCTGTCAGGTCCCTTAGCTACTGTCCCCAAATGCTCCCTGACTCCTCTCCAGACACCTTCCTTCCTCACCTTCTCTCACTGCTTTAACTTGCGGGGAGCTCAGAGGAAAAGGTCTTCTGAGTCAGCAGCAATCAGCCTTGTTTCTTCCTTTTTTCCAAAGACCTAGAAGATTCTGCCAACAGTCTCTAATAATAAGACTTCTGCCTTTGACTAACTGTTTAATGTTAAAAGTCTTACTGTCTTACTGAAGTTTTCATTTGGTGACTACTTTTCCCAGTCCTAGGGTTTTGCAAGAAAAGTGCACCAAAACCTCACCCGCTAGGAATTCCCATCAACCTGTTATGACCATCAGGCACCGATCCCACATGCCAGTCTAAAACTTTACCTTGTGCACCATCCCATCAGTTATGGTCCCCCGGTCTGTCCACCATCTGCACATACAGATGCTTTGCAAACTGCAGGACTGCTGCCTATGCTTTCTGGCAATGTATTAAATTTGGCAGAGGCTTACAGTGCAACTGGGCAGGTTTGGGAATGTGAGATCCAGCATGCGTGAACCAGGCTTCAGGCATGCTGCTGCAACAGACTATAAAGCTGGTCTTGAGGATGGCCTCAGAAGGACCCCTCAAAGGCAATATAAATATACCCCCGAGCTAGCTGTTCCTGAGCAGTTGCATATCTGCCTAATTGATTGCAAAACTGAGAGCTCTTCTGGGATTTGTGAGCACAAACTGCATTTTTCTTTAAAAAAAAAAAAGTAATTAAAAAAATTTCAATGTTAAATCTGAAGAAACTTTTCTGAAAAATTGATCAAGATGGATTCTTAAATCCATCTGCAGATTTGTACAGCAGAAGTATTGAAATTCAACAGATCAGCTAAAGTGCATCTATATGATATATACATATTTTCTAGTATTTATGAAACCTTACCATAAGTCTTTCACTGTAAAATAAAAATAAAATTAACAGCCTACAAAAACCTTTATTTACAATGAAATAGAAAGTGTTAGGAGTTTTCTTAATGTCAGCGTGTAACATTTTGAACCACCATTGAAAAAGGATATGAATGTACCAAAATTTTAATAGCTATTTTTCTAAGAGGATTGAAGGGAGTTAAAATGTACAGGGCAGAGGTGGCACTGAATCGGAAGATTGCCTTCCCCTTATTCAATACTATAAAGGTCTGAAAAAGAGAAAGAAAAGACATTTTATAAGTGTGTATTCACTGTAGGTGCTCATTTAAAAACTGTTCCTAGTGACCAATCACCAAAATTGTAACTTTTTTAATAGCTAATACACAAAAGCCGTGACTCATTTTTGAAATAAAACTCATTTCCAGTGCTTACCTGATGTACCTGACATATGAAAATATAATTTTAAATACAGAACATTCAATTCATTAACGTTTTTATAATACTTCTTCATTAAACAGAATAGTAATATGATACATTTACATGATGTGTTTCTTGTAAAAAACGTGCAGAAATGATTAACTAAAATTATAATTTTATTTATGTTTTCCCATAGAAAACTCTCTCTTCCTGTTTGAAATACCATAAGCAGGGAAACCTTACCTGTGGATGATAATGATGTGTTAGTAAGAGAAATCCCTATAGAAACCGATTTAATATTCTACCCATTTGTTCATATTTTTTATTCTAGTCTGTTTCTCGGTGTTTGTGCTAAGGAGAGAGGGAAATAGCAGTAACACATATAGCCAGGATTAGGTAGATCTCTGAGGACTGTGGGCATCTGAATACACCTTACCAGAGGAGAGCAAGAGATACATCCCAGATGACCTCCCTGCAAACCCTGCATCTGGGTTTGCAGGTGTGAAACTTTCCCAGAACATACATACTTGTTAAATCTAAATTTTAACAGCTAAAGAGCCTATCAAATTTAAAGAAACTTAAAGGCATGCAAGCCTTACTTCAGAGAATTGCAGAAGACTGTAGGCTGAAAGCTTGTCTATTTTTCTCAAATAAATCCGCAAGCCAAATATAAATGGTATGAGAGCAAACCCTACAAACATTGCTCTGCTTCCACTGTAGACCATCAGGGCTGCAAAAGCATTAACACTACAGCACGGGACATGTGGACTGTCAGGTTTGTTTGTGGCACTAAGGTGCTCTTCAAGTGCAAGATGAATCAGAAAAGAATGAAAAACTGCAGAAGGAAGACTCAGTAACTCAGAAGAAAGCTGCATGCAGTGAAAGGGATGATGCAAGGATTATAGCCTACATTCAAAATGAATTGAAGGTATTGAAGAATCTGCCCAAGAGAAATGTCCAAAATTACTTTTTTGGTTTTGTCAGAGTTGTATATTTCATAAATAAGCTATGATAAAGCCTCCTTGTTTTTCGCTATGTTGCTGACAAAGTGAGCTGTAAACTAGAATGCCAGTGGAAGTGTGGGAAAGGGTATGTTGGTCTCTTCTGGTGTCTGTGACATCGAGCATTGCTTCGAGACTGTAAGCAAGTGGACTACAAGGCTATTTTTGGGAAGGCTGGCAGACAGAGAAAACGTGCCAAGGAGGTTCAAGAAGGACAATTCTTCAGTCTGCTTAGATTTGGGAAGCTTAATATGGTACAGATACAAATCTCTAGGAGCACCCAGGAGATGGAGAGAGACGTGGAGATGAGGGTTTCCACCAGTCTGTGACAGATATCAAGTACGGAAGGCAGAGGAGAAGCAGGGATTAAGCCCTGAGGAAAAGCTGTCCCAGTCCCAACTCACTTGCTGGTTTCTCCCCTGAGCTGTCTCTGTCATAGCTCTACACGGCACACCTTCCTATACAGACCAAACCCCTTAAGAGTAAGGACATTAATAGTGAGCCTTTATATTGGCTTGAGTACAAACTCAAGATGTGTAGGAATGGTATAAGATATGGTATAAGATTTCCCCACATCTGCACAGAAATGGAGACACTGCATATGAAACTGAGGACAGTGGGATAAAGCCTGAGCTAATGTTTCCAAATGACAGTTCCAGTTATGGATTACAGATAACAACAACCTTCAAAGTGTAACTGCAGATGACCCAACCTTAAATGAAGCGTTCATTTTAAATACTGAAGCAACCAAGCAGATGAATGATTTTTTTGGCACAATGTTTTAAAGCCTCACACCCCAAGGGGAAGGTGAGTTTCCCCTCCCAGGTCTGTCCCCAGCCCCCAGGACTCACAGCTCAGAAAGCTCCAGCTCGCCCTCTCGGCTTTTGTAGCTATGAGGTAGTTGATAAAATACATTAAAATCACACTCCCTACTCACTTTGTAGCTAAGACTGCACCACCTACGTTTAGTCAACCTACATTTTTTAAAAAATCTTTGAACACAAGCATATTAAACATACATCTCTTTTCTAACATGCCTTATGGAAAATAACAGCATGCTGGCACAGTTCCAGTTTCAGATGGAAGCTGCTGCTATTTTAGCTGTTCTACTTTCTGCTGCCCTGCATAAGCAGCACCAACAAGATGTAAATTCCCTACCTCAGTTTTAATTTTTCACTCAAAGCATCTTTGTGACTGGAGCCTTCACAATGACTTTTTTGGTCCTCTGACTCCTAGCCTTAAACATGAACTAAAATTGTATCTTATCTCTGATGAAGAATTTTCATTAAAAAATACAGATAACAGCTGATATCCAATCCCTGTGTAAGCTTCCTTCCCTGGTAAGCCCGCTATATCTCACCCCAGTCTCAACCCAGATGCAAGCCAATGTGTAGGCAGTGTGGATGAACATGAAGTATTGTACCCAAAGCTGTCAGGACAAAGTAGACATACACTGAGAAAAGCTAAATAAATTATAAACGAATGGTAAGATTAAATTTTTTATATGAAGGATTATGTATACTTTTCAGGGCTTAGGTTTTAAAGTGCTTTAATAATTTTATAAAGTCAGAAAACCTGCTTACACGCAAAGTATTTGAGTGTGAATATAAATTCAAAGAAATCCCTAAAAAGAAGTCCCCGATTTGCCACTTTTGCATCTGTAACCTGGATCCCAGTTCTGTAACTTCTGCCATATTTGATATAAACCCTGAAACTGCATTCTTAGCAGGGAAAAGAAGGAGGAGGAGTATTTTGAGAAGATGCAGCTAAGAGGGAAGAAGAGCCCACACTGAATAAAGATACAGTCTCTAAGAACCTCTTGGGACTAAGAGTTCCCAAAACCTTATTTCTCCTCTCCTTCCTCCCAGTTAGCTTTAAACATAGTTTCTGGAAGGCTACATTTAGCAGGCTGACCGCTGCTCCATTGCATTTCTGTTTCCTACAGTTAAATAAACACCATCTAAAACCTCATAGGACCTTCTGAAAGGGAAGAGGTGACGTATTGTTGAGCTGGGTCTTTAGCTTCTTGGGAAAAGCCCCAGGGGCAGCTAGAGCAAGAGACTCATGGCATATTGGAAGTTGGCATTTCTTGTTGTTGTGGTTATCTTTTGAAACCATGTTTTCTAGCAAGACCTTATTTTTTTGTTTTGTTCGAACTTTTCACTTAAACTATCAAAAATATCTAAAATCACTAGTGCATTCACCTTTTCTGATGTGGTGAAGTTAAGTAAAGCAATTTTACAGAATCTTTTTGTTTCTGCAACCCAAGACAAGTCTGGGAATCCCAGGAGCGAGTGGTTTGATCAGATTAGGGACTGATATTACCAAGTGCCAGGACAAAAGGAGGCACCTTTTCTGACAGACATCATTCAACATCCTTCTGGCAAGACGCAGAGCATGAAGTGGCAATCAACAGTGCTATATCTATATTATTGTATAGCACGAGGAAAGTGAAATAAGACCCATTTAGTTCCACTTATTCTTTCCCCCTCTTTAATGTAGCAGCCTAGGTTCAAGAAAAAATAGCCAGCCCTTAAAGTATGAAACCAAGTGGACCAGATTTTGATGCATGCCTGCAGGTCAGGATCTTAGGGGGTTCCAGCTGATCCTTTCTCTATAGACAGTGATGTGAACCTCCTTGATCCTTTGTGATGGCAGCTTGAGCATGAACAGGCAGTTGCTATTATACTGGGAACACACAGATTTGCACTTCCACAGAAGTGGAACACAAAAAATGGGTAAAGTCCAAGTTCATTTTTACTCAATTTTTGATTAAAAAAGAAGAGCATTGCAACTGTTTAGGATGCTAAACTTCACAGTTCTGAAGACCAGCATTATTGACCACCACAGTCAGCAGCATTTCATTATAATAAAATCATGAGGATATAAGAACAGGTATTGTATTATATTGTAATAAAATAATTATGTTTCTAGGGCACAGTTGCTGGCATTCAGGCTATCTGTGATACAGTGTAAATCAATAATACTATCAGGTGTGTAAATTTGCTATAATGGGCTGTTCTGTTGTCAAACGGCGGTTGTCAATTTTTTCCTTTTCCTTTCAACTTCAGATTAATATTGGGCATGAATATGTCCTCTTTGGTTGTAGGTTTTGCATAGAAGCACAGTTACAAAACCATAAATCTAGCACACCTATCTGTTTTTGTTTCTCCTAACAGGTTTTTCCATTTTTAACTTTTCATCTCAGGGCTACCTTACCCACAAATTAAAGCTCTCACACCAGCTCAAAACATTTATTTATTCCTGTCTTATTCTGTATTAAACTGTATCAAATCATGGCATGCACAAACCTATTGCTTAGGAAAAAAGTCCCAAAGGTGAAATGTAAAACACTCTAGATTATGTTTCAACATTCAATGCATGCAAAAATACTTGTTCAATCTTGCTACAAAAACAGGGAAAAAACCCTCGGCCAGTAGGATGCAATGTTTGCATATGAGGCAAATGATGGATGATTTCACTCATGACCCAAATTTGGAATGAAAAAGATATTCCTAAGATTCTTGTACAGGTTTCCTGAATAAACACTGTGACCATGTTCATTTGTATCATTTGATCAGTGCTGTAGGTGACCATTTCTATTCCCTATTTGAAACTTTGGAAGCCAAAATGATATCATTTCTGTCAATAAATCAGGTATAGTTTATGCAGAGATCTTAACAGAGGTCTGAAGCAACAGTGGCATCTGCTAATCCACACACTTGTCCTGACCCTTTCTTGCAAATAAGTATTTTCCTTTATTCTAGTGGTTTTCATTAGATCCATATAATTTCAGATAGATGCTTCCCCAGGCAGAAATATAAAATCTGTAACCATCGTGCAGCAGTTGTCACACCGTTACATTGGGAGAGGGTGTGCTGATTGACTCCTTGGCTTTACAAGGTGGAATTCAGAGAGGGATAAAGAGAAAGATGAAATGTTAAACGGTACAGAGGTAAATGCATTGAGCATTAAAAGTCTTCATGTCTTCCTGGAGATGTTCACTTCTGCTTCAAGCTTTTGTCAAACTATTTCTCCTTCTGAGACTTGCAGGAGCATCAACTGCTACCAATACTCTCAAAAGACAAGTGAAACAGGATAAAAGTCTTTCCAGAATTCACATACAGCTAAATAAAATCTAGGAATTAGATATCTTAAAGTCAAATTATTGATGTTAGACTTCTGTTAGGAAAATCTATTTTCCTCCTACTGAAGGAAGAAAAAATGGAGAGAATTGTAGCGGATGAGAAATTTTTGTCCTGTCTTTGACTGACAGGGCTGTTTCTATTCCTGTCCTGTAGAAGATTAAAGTACGTGCATGGAGAGGATGTGTGGACTTCAGCACAAAGAAGAGAACCGCAGCGGGTACATGACTAGCCCATAAAAGATATTTAGCGTGCAAATAAAAAGATTCTTCCTTTCAAATAGTACAGAAACTTGGTTGAATATGTTCAGCTGGTTTCACTCTATTTCTGGCAACTCTGTCATCAGACCTGGCTGATGTAGTAAGTTTTCAGCTCTGTCTGTGAAGGGACTGAAAGGGTCTTCCATTTCTCAGGGCTCTAGAAACGTACCTGTAGGTCATACCTAGCATGTATCTGTTTTCACTGTAAGACACACAAGATCGACTGATTTGACTATAAAGGTCCAGGATGAGCTGTGGGCAGGCAGGGATATAATTACATGTGATTTTGTATGATGAACAGACGCAATTAGTACAGAACTCTACAAGGCCTACTTTTATAGAAACACATCTTCTATCTTTGTAAAAGTAGAACTGTGATTTAAAGATAAAACTTTATACACTCTGAATGGCAGATAAAGGCTTTTTCAGAGGCATCAGATAATAAAGATAAAATCTTCACTTTTTTAAAGTTTGCAAAATATGTAATCTATTATGTATACACACATTTGTATAGTTTTATATATTGCTTATAATCAAAGACAACATACTATGCTTCAGCTTTGATATAAATGTTCCTTTGATATAAATTCAATTATATCAAAGGAATAAATTTTGATGTAAATGAAAAGAAAAGGATGAAAAAAACCATTAAGGATGATGGATTCTTTCCTGTGCCATAGAGGACAGTGGGCACTTTGCTAATGATTTAGAGAGCAGTGAACAGAAGCCTAGATTTTCACGATATTTATTTATACCCTGCTACCTCCATTGTACATCCATATTACAGAATCAGTCATAATGTTACATTTATTGCCAATTTGATTAATTTAATGTTAAAAATAATATTACTGCAAAATTCCTCCTCACGTAAAGCAGGAGGACTGGTGTGCCAAGAGCAGAAGGTAAATGAGTTCTAAAAACAAACATTAGCTAAATGAACTTTTTATAACCAGAAGATATTAAATATTTATTTATTAACGTTCTGGAAGGTAGAATGTATATGTATCATTAGTATCAAACATTTTCTGCTCTTGTTGTATACCAAGTTCTTTTAGCAATGCTCAACTGTTTCCGCATTATTAGAATGACATTTTCCTACATGGTTGCCGCTTAACAGACTGAAGTAACAAGCTATATTACCCACTGCATGGAGATGAAATGAACGTGATAAAACACTCCAAATGCTGCCATATGAACAGGATTGATATTAGACTCACTTTTTTATTGATGTAATATGGGTCCATGTCTTCCAAGGGCTCAGACACCATTCCTGGAGGTATGTCGCCGTATATAAACGGAAGTGTTTTTCCTGCCTCCAAATCACTGTTTGGCTTTGGCCCATTTTCATCATCGTTGTCTTTACGATCTTGTTTAGAATTCTTAGCTTTTTCTGCAGCCATGCGTTGTTCAATAGCTGCAAGAGACTCTCTAGTGAAGTATTGGAAGCTGTCTGGTCCTGGTGGTACAAGCACTGACTGCTCCATCTTTTCATCCTGCACATTTTAATTACCATTTATTCTTCTGCATAGGAAAATACTAAAAGAAAGCAGAAAATAAAATTCAAACAAACATGTTAAAATCACCAGGTAAGAAAGATATAACATTTATTTTTAAATGGTTTTATTTATGCTATGTTGGAATGTTCAAATACACAGTATTGAAAATTATGTAAAGGAAAATAAAATAAGCAGTTTAGTTGGTGATTTGACCTTTGTAAGAGGCACTTGCATGGTTCTTATGCTAGTTATATAAACTGCAATAATTTCGCAACTCTAGGACTATAATGGTCTTTTGCTCCAAATAAGTAAAAGCGTGATACTTAAGAACAATCAGATACATTCTTTCCTCATAACTCTAATTATCTTAAAATCACTTCACGTTCCTCTGGAATCAGTCAGGATTATATTGGTAACTATAAATAGCACAGTTCATCAGACTAATGCAGAAATTTCCACTGAGTTCAGCAAGAGTATCAGAAAACAAGCACTGTAGAATCAGAATTTCTATTAAACAAATAAAAATCAAATCTGCGTATTATGAGGTAGTAAAGTAGTGGTTCCAAATAAGTTTTTGTATGGGTAGTTATTCTAGATAACAAGAAGAACAATTGCCTATTTTTATTTCAATTTAACTGTTACTATGTATCTGGTTCTTTATTCATAGCTGCAACTGGATAATTCTGGAAGTATTCTAATATATATATTTATTTATATATTGCAACTGAGAAAATAAACCTGATGAGGGGGGGAAAAAAAAAAAGTCCTGTTAAAACTATGGATCTGGCGTCTTTCATGCTGCTGAATAATTTTCTGAATGACATCAGACATAGAGATGGAATGTGTATTTGGGCACACAATGGCGCATATATCCCTCATGCCTGAATGTAAACATTATTTGCAGTCTCCACCCATTGCTGGGGTCCTTGTGAAATGGTCAGTCAGCCTTTCAGGAGACTTAAGGGTCAATGCAGGTCAGTACTCATTGAAATAAGCTAGAGATACGGAATGACAGAGCAGTAAGAATACAAGAGATGGTTGGGGGGAAACGTATTAAAACAAATGAAAATGTGACAAACAGAACCAGGAGTTATGGAAAGAAGCTGAAAACGATGAGGAAAATAGAGCAAAAAATGGAAACAAGAGGAGACCATAATGAATATAGAAAAAATTAGGGGAGAAAGTGAAGAACATGAAAAGGAAAAAATAGGAAGACTGGAAGACTAGCAGTATAAAAATGCAGAGATGAAAACAAAGAAAAATAGAAAAATAGGTGGAAGAACAGAATATGTGGAGAGGTGTAGGAAGGGAAGCAAATACAGATACGGTTAAGCTTTCTATTAAGTCAATAAGGAGAATAAGAAATTAGATGAGAAATAAAGGGAGAAGTAGAAAACCATAGCTGGGAAATGAAAGAGAATGTCACTAAAATATATTAAGTAATAAACCCCAAATTCTCTAGATCATTAATGCCAGGGTGAGCACAAACATCTTAATCACACATATGCATTGAGTAGTGGTATATAGTGGATAAAATAAGTGCTTATGGGCTCTATAATCCAATCTTTCTTGATTTCTCAGAAAAATAAAAAACCCCGTATTTCACTTGGATGTATAGAATCATCACCCACAATCAGAAGAATGGCTTCTAAAGAATCGAGGTGGCAGATTTGTCACTAAAAAACTAAAGGGAACTAATCTCCTACCAAAACACAAAGTATTGACCCATGCAGAGTGTAGACTCATGCCAAAAACAGTTCTCTAAAGCTTTTCCTTCTTTCTAATCCTGAAAGGAATTGGAATCACCCTTACTCCATTAGGGGGAAAAAGGATATAAGAAAGTGTACCTCAACCAACAAGGATTTAAAATCTCTTCCTCCACGTAGAGAGCATCCTCCGGACATCCCCCAGCTCCCCATTTTGTGGTTCTGTTTAATTCTGGGAATTGACTCTTCAGTCTCTTAACTACTGAACAGTTATAAACTCACAGTTTTTACACTCTGACATTATTTCCTAATGTTCAATCACACCTCGTGGATACTGGAAAAGAAGGAGAAAAAACTACTAGCCACACCACTGTCCTTGCTGATCCCCAAACCAATCCCCGTAAGTGGCACCGTAATTTGGGAAACAGATCTCATACTAAGCCACTATTCAAATATTATGGGAGCCACAGCTGTAGGTGGATACTACGTGCTCTGTGGCCTTCAGGGAGATGCAGAGACTCAAGAGAGAGAGGCAGGCTCTCTTCTCTGCTCAGCTTATTTGACAAAGGAAGTGATGAAGGCTCGGCTCGGCTCAGCTCCTCTCCTCTCCTCTCCCAGCATAGGTATAATCTCCATGGGCACCAGCAAATGAGGCTACACAGCCATGTCTGCCTTTCCCTCTCCCCCTCCCCATGAGACCCAGGAGGTTGGTTTCCCCTTTGCCATTTTTCCTTTGAAAATTTTCTTCATTATCCAAAAACCCCACTGTAGACGGCACTCGGTGTCCCCTGCCGTGGTGGCCCGCGAGGGCACAGCAAGCCAAACGAGTGGCGGCGCAGTGGGAGGGAGGGGCCGGGCAGCAGCAAAGGCAACCTCATGTTTTGAAGAGGAAGGAAATGGACAGCCAGCGAGCAGTCAGCAAAGATGAGCTCTGAAACCCTACGGTGCCCTGTCGGGATCATCTTTTAGTTCAGCTGAGTGTCCTGAGCTGGCCTGCAGAACAAGAAGGTAAGCCTGCAGGATTTGCCTGCAGGTGCACAGAAACAAGCTACTTCACAGCCATTAGTTACGTTGCAAAAACATTTGATTCAGCTACTGCGTTTACATACGGAGTTTAAAAACAGCAAATGCTGTGGGCTTTTCTAATAATACCTGTATTTTTTCTGTAGAAAGGAACATTACTTTATTTTTCTATAATTAATCCTAGAATGTTCTTAGGTCTGTCAAATGTACATGGAGCTAGCCAGGTACGTACCTTTAGATATATCTAAATCTATGTACGCTGTACTTAACAAAACATTTCAGGAGACTTTATGAAGATTAATACTTTTTATCCTCTACTTAACAGATTAGAGGATGATATTCCAGATACATTTTCCTTTTCTTCATGCATTTCCATGATTGTAAGTCTTCAGAATTGAAGTCTTCTACAAATTTGAAAGTCAATATTAAATACATACAGAATTCCATACACTCTTAATCCCAAATCACTTTCATCTGTCATATTACAGTGGTTAACTGAAAGGTTTGTATTTCCTTTATTATAGCTGATGAATTTATTCTCACTTATCTGTGTAAGGGATGGATAACAATTGATACCAGGCCAGCAATTCAACAGAGGAAAGAATATAAGAATACACAAAATATAGATTCCTTACTAAGTCCTTTCCTACTCTCCTTCTGAAGTGAATGAGATTTTTTTCCTTCTTCATCTCCAATTGTGTTTGAGTGACTTTCTTATGAGCAGTGTATCAGTAGGCAAAACATTTCAAATTTTGGAAAATAAGGTACTCAGAACATTTAAGAATAGAATCATTCTGTTTCTTCTGAAATTTCCACGGCAAAATATATTTATATATACTTTGTATTATACAGTGTTGTAAGCCAGATAATTCCAGAGCATACTCAATATATTCTGTGCGCATGGACCATCTGTAAACCACATGCAGAATAAGTCTGAAGTTACTCAGCTGCATCTGTGTAATTGCACAAGGCACAGCTGATCTGCCCATGCATATTAAGTGTGAAGCATCCAGAACTACACTGGATTAGCTATGCACACACTGACCATCAGGGCGATATACATGCAATTGGTTCAGCACTTCCCTGATGGATGTGATCTACTGTACATCTTGCGTAGCTGTAGATCTACACGTACTTAGAGAATAACTCAAGGTGTCAAATATCCACAGAGTTTCTGCAAATTTACAGAGTCTTCAAATTTCACTTAAATAGATTTTCTAGGCAAAATAGAGGAACACGTTGGCAAATAGATGGAGAGATGGTGCCTTGTCTAACAGCGATTCCAAACCAGTTGCACACTAGCCTTTGAAGAAGTCAATTAGATGATACTTAACTCTCTGAAAAAGAGACAGGTGTGAACAAGAAGATTATTTCCTAACCTGTTAAGCATCTGGTTTACTGTTAGCTTTCATGTTCTTCATGCCTTCATAGCAAATAGTGACAAGAGTTTATGGAGAGTTTAGGCAGGAGGACCTTAGCGTACATGTAGAACTACAGTACTGCAAATACCTAAACTTTAGCAAGCTAATTTCTTTATATTATCCATACGCTTAAATCTAAAACTATAACATGCTTTGATGTTTGATCTTCTGTGACAACATCCATGAGTTAAAATTTAGCTTCCATTTGCCACAGAATATAATGAATGTTGAGACGTTGAAGTTCCATTGGAGCCTATATGCTAGAAATTTGATTGTCCAGTTCCAACAATGCTTGTTGTACAACAGGTCTGGTTCAGCTCTATACTTTCACCTATGTAAACACCTATATAAAGCCTTCCATGATCACCTTTATATCCATATACTGAAATCAAACTTGATCTCTAAAAACCAATCTTTTTCCTGCCTCTCCCTCCATCCTTCAGGAGCCAAGATTGTCAGCAATGTAACTTTTAATATTACCCAGCATTTAATCTTATTCAATTAGCATAGCAATATGATTAACTTAAAAAAGCTATAGCTTCTCAGATTTACCATGTAGTAATGTGCCATGTTTTCTAGAACATACTACGTAGATGTTCAGTTTCTTCTGTGGTTAACACTGCAGGCGCTGAGTGATGTGAACATGTTTCTAATGTACAGACACGGTGAATAGACCAGAATGGTATTTTTGCTCTTCTGTTGGCCTAGTCATGTCACGCACAGATAAACATGTGACAGGCATGAACTAGAGAATATACGCTAGAGAATAACTAGAGAATAATTTATGTTCTTTACTTTTGTAGGTAAAACTTTGCATACATTGGAAGTAATGGTGAATTAATACTTATACCTCCCCTACCCCACTTTTTTTTGTATTCTCCAATTTCTCAATTTGA